GGGGGGGGGGTGGGGGGGGGGGGGGGGGGGGGGGGGGGGGGGGGGGGGGGGGGGGGGGGGGGGGGGGGGGGGGGGGGATGTGTGTATTCTGGAATTTCACGTGATCAATAAGATATTAAAATTGATGGACGAATTCAGAACAAAAATGAAACTTTCAACTCTTTAGAATACCACTCATTCTTAGTTTTATAATTTTCATCGTTTTATTTGTTCGCAATTCTTAATCAACAAACAACAGAAATAAATCAAATCACACCATATTCTCAACAAAAAATGTAAGTCTACCAAATGAATGTCTTGCAGAAACATTTCTTTGAGGATGATAAACAAACGTTATTCTCGGCGACAGTGCTTAATTATGACTCAGATAACAATTAACGTTAATTAAATGTATGAACAGCATACGTATTATGTTGATTGATTCTGAATTCGAATCTTGTTTCCTGAAACCTGTCGCACGAACAAAATTCAATTTGGAAACTAAAGTGTCGGCTCATCCATTATCCGGATTTTCATGCATATCAATATCGATGTTTGTGCCCCAAATCACAATCGGCCCAAATTAAAATAGGAATATGACCAGAGTTAGGGTAAGGGTTAGTGTTAGTGCTGAGGGATAGGCTATATATTTATATAGATATTTGGTTTAGATTTTGATTTGGGATATATCCCAATTGTCAATTGGGCAGATTGTGATTTGGGGCACAACATCGATATATATACCATCAAATCCTCCATCTGTTACACTGGTCTATATATACCTGATACATTAAATCCCATTCCACACCCGTATAATATTAGAACACCACCTTCGCCAAAGAATGGAGTTTTTTCTTTGTATATTCAATCTATCAGACCCTTTCATGGGGGTTTTTTTTTGATTCTAATCCATCCTTTCAGCAAAGAAAGAAAGCAAAGAAATGAGAAATTTTATGTCTGGAATGCAGGTTTTATTCTAGATTAGGCGATAAAATTCTGGGAATAGATTAAAAACGATGGATATTAAAATCAAGCTATAATTAAAAGTATATTCAACCACTTGTACAATTCGTATCGCACCTTCTTTCTGTTGGAGACATAACAATATTCAATTTCGTAGCAAAAATTATAAGCTCATGTGATTTACATACACGTGATTCTTACATATTTATTCGTTTGACAAATTTTTTTCTTCATTCTCGCTGCTTTTGTTATAATAAAAATCGCATAAAAAAGAAATTAAAAATGGCACACGACCAAGTTTGGTTTTCGCGTCCTCGTCGCTACGGAAAAGGTTCTCGTGAGTGGTATGAAATGGATCTAAAATTTTTATACATTTATAATTATTCTTAGAGTATAAATGATATCTAAATGCGGAACTTTATCCTTGACATAGCCGCGTATGCGCACACCGCGCCGGTCTTATTCGTAAATATAATTTAAATGTGTGTCGCCAATGTTTCCGTGAATATTCCAAAGATATCGGGTTTATCAAGGTACTAACTGACTATTCTTATTAATATATAGACAATTATAACTGGTAAATTGTATATTAATGATGTTTTCGATCAAATCATTGTAGTATCGTTAATCCTGTACGGTCTTTTGACTCAAAAAACGAAGCTAGAGAAATAATAAGATCCGTTGTAGGAGATATTGTAATATTATTAATATTTATAAAAGATAATTATAATCATTCTCACTTTTATTAATTTTCTTTTCTCTTATTATATTGATCACAATTTTTTTGCTTGTGTACTCTAGTTACTTCATCATTAATTAGTGGTTGATTATAATATCAATGCGACTTACCATTATTACTGATAATTACAAATACTAGATACCTTTCTTAAGGCGTCCCAAAATATATCTATATAAATTATACATAGTACAATACAATATTAACAGAATATTACTATTATCGAAACATCGCAAACTCTCGTTCTTCCTTAAATCGCGCATGAACCAATTCCACAACTTCACGTGGATAATAATCTTCTGGTTTTCCAACTATCGCATCATGTTTCGCTGCTTCCTCTTTCGTGAGCACTACACAATTCTGTAGACTCAATGGTTGTGTTTTGTCCCAACGAAGTAACGTCAATTTTTCTGATGCCCCCGAGATCACACTTCGACCTCGCCAAATTTCGTCAACGGCATAACCCACATCACGTTTATCTAATGGAATGATGCTTGTAAAATAAAACATTGTTTGCGTTAAATGCTCGAATGAAGAATTAAATATTAACTGGATAAGTATTTTCGCGTAATTTTCTTACTCTGTTCCATAGGTCTTGTTCTCCCTCACTTGTAAGTCACGATGTATCCGAGCATATAAAGAATCGCGATTTTTATTTGCTAGCGGTTGGATAGGATAACTGGCCAACGTTGTGATGATATACGTAGCAATAGTCATTCCAAAAATGGATGGGATAGTTCCTGAGATCAAGTTACACATCCAATAAGTCTAATAATAATAATTATAATTGATTTTTTTTTAAAAAAAAAGTATTCAAGTACCTAGTACTGGAAGAATCCGTGATCGAAAATCGGGTAATGTAGCGTATTCATCAGCGTTATCAATTCGGCTTTCATCTGAACAAATAGATAGAATAGTTTAGCGTTTGTGATGTGCCATCTCGTAATGACTTATATAGAGTACCTAATGGCAGTAATTTAATATTTGGTTTTTCGGTGGAATATACTACTGTTATGCCAGATTCTACATCCATTCTTCGGAGACGACGTCTAACTGCTCTCGCCAGCGGATCCTCTAAAAATATCAAAAATGGTAAAGAAAAAGATACTATTATATGTAAATAAGCGAAACCGATTCGTACCAAATGTTTGGCTAATGTCGCTTATCTGTACTCGCGTAGGATCGGCTTTAGCTCCAGCACCCATAGAACTAATAATCTAACAGATAATTATCCTCTTGTCAATGGAACAAAGAGAATGTATTAATTCTTCAAAGAAGTAAGATTTGATTGAAATACCGGTAAATGATTATCGTGACAGTATTTAAGTAGAGCAAGCTTCGTGTCAATATTATCAATTGCGTCGATAATAAAATCAGGATTTCCTATTAATTACGCGAGAATATCTTTATTATTGAGAGATTTGCGGCTGTTTTTGGAATATAGACATACCAGCTAAAAGTTGAGGCGCGCTATTTTTATTGAACAGTTGTGTCAATGGTTCAATTTTCGCCCACGGAGCAATTTGCTCGAAATTTCTTTTCAATGCAATAACCTTTGGTGTACCAACATCTTCATGAGTTGCAACCGCGTGTCGATTCAGGCTACTAAGCGTGACTTGATCAAAGTCAATTATCCTTATGTGTTCAACACCGGAACGAAGGAGCATCAAAGCAGCCCATGAACCGACACCGCCAGCTCCAACTATAATTACAAAGGAGTGGCGAATTTTTTCTATACCTTCTTCCCCTAGAAAAACAATATTTCTGGCGAGCTGCTCTTTTATTATTTCTTCGTCGTATTTTTCCTCTTTTGTGAAACCAATGCCAGAAGCGTCGCGAGTAAATGGTAGGTGCACGTCCGGAGCGTCTCTTTTTGCAGCTTTGGTACGCGCGTTTCTTTGAAAAGTATTATATGTAGTAAAAGCAAAACTTGTAACTAGGCTTGCACCAACCGCGGTCATTGCTAGCTGAACCTGGTGATTTGACGCTAATGCGGCTATTGCATCAGTAAAAGGTGACTTTGACATGCTTTATAACGTATATAATTTACAAGGAGCAGCAGTGAGAGGTATAAATGGCACTATTTCAATGCAAGCTATATAAGTTGGGCACGGTCCGTATAATTTTTTGTAACGTGTAAAATATGATGTAAATTCGTGTTGATTATACAATGACATCAATTTTTTAGTTCCTTAAAGGGTCCAATTTTAATTTTATTGGTTAAGCTAATTGTCGTCTACTATATATAAAATAATTATGATTGGGTACACAACTTGGACTACCTGTCAAAGCTTTAAACAATGGGAAACGACGGAGGCTCAATTCCAAAACGGATTGAACTTGTGAAGGAAAAAAAGAAAAAAGTTAAACCTGATCAAAACGCATTAACCATAGCGACCTGGTTCTTTTGTGCATTATCAAAGGTAAAATTTTGAAAATACGTTTACTTATCTTGTTTAGTTACTTATCGAGTATGAGACAAATAAAGAATTGCAATCATAGCGTGTTTTAAGAGAGCCGATCGTCGCGTGTCGTCTCGGAAAGCTGTATAACAAAGATGCAATAATAGAATTTTTGCTTAATAAAAGCGCGTATGGCGACGGTGACATCATTTGTTCGCATATCTCTGGTCTGAAGGTATATATGCTTTCCAATTATCTCAGTTCTTAGTTTTCAAACTCGATTTTATTTTTTAATATTCAATCTTTCGTTATTGTAATAATCAATATAGGATCTTACAACTTTAAAACTTACACCGAATCCTGCTTTCAAAGAAACTTCGAATGCAAATACTGCACATTTTGAACCTGGAATAGTATCGCCATTCATTTGTCCAATCACCAGGAAAGAAATGAATGGTAAATCGAAATTCGTATATATTGAGAAATGTGGTTGCGTTTTCTCAGAACAGGGATTAAAGGAAGTGCCTAGTTCTAATTGTTTACAGGTAATTACTTTAATATTCAATAATAAAATGTGTGTGATCGTTTTTTGTCGCGATATTAAATGATTTTATATTTATTACAGTGTGCTAAACCTTTTACTCCGGAGAATATTATTACAATTAATCCTTCCGCAGAAGAACAAGAAAGCTTGAAGGGAGCTTTACTGGAAAAGAAAATAAGAGCCAAAGAAAAGAAAGACAAAAAGAAACAAAAGGCATCAACTTCCACTGATGAACAAGTAGTAAAGCATGAATCTTCAAATGCTCTTGGCACATCTACTACTTTGACTGATACAGTTAAATCACCGGAAAATAACCAGATTATTCATGATAACAAACGCAAACTTTCTGACGAGGATGTTTCTGAGCTAGGAAATTCAAAGAGAATAGCCGTTGAAAAACCAAAGGCTAGCACTACTACTGCTAATGTGGTTAGTGGAAGTTCTGCTGCCGCTGCGGTCAATAAAAAAGTAAAAGAACAATTGGCAAATTCACCGACAAAAGCAAAACAATCCAAAGCCATTCAATCGATTTATTCAAAGAAAAGTGATAGCGGTGTGTCTGATAGTTATTTGGTCAGAGGAACATTTAATCGGTATGCTGCATAAATCTTTACTGGTTACAAAGTTATATGCGTCATCATTTGTATCCTTAAATAATGAACAAAAGTCCGATCTCAAATGGTTAAATTTGTTCGCTTTAATTTATAATGTCATGATTCACTTTTTAAATTATCCAATAAAATCGTAAAATGTTCGAAAAATCAAAATTTTCTTATACGACATAAAAATGAATTTGTAACCTTAGTATTATTGACAAAGATCAGTCACTATTACTAAGTGTATTCACAAACTCTTTTAATTGGACAGTTTGAATTCTTTATTATAAATCTGCGAATCTATGCAATTTAATTGGTTGGAATTCGATATGAATCCAAATCAGAGTTAGTGTTAATTATTATTATTTTTCAGGTGAAAGCAAAATGTCGTAGTAAACGAAACGACATTTCCGCAAATATCCGAAGTGCCTCTTTTCTATATTTGGAGAAGAGCATCTGGAAAGATTTTGGCTGGAAAAATTATTTTCCCAATCTTCCTTTCGAATCAGAAGGCATCCTTTATCTCCAAAATAATATCGGTATCTTCGATCGATTTGATGTTCCAGGGAAACAAAAGGTCGTTTACCACACGAGATATTGATTTCTTCGAAATCACCGATTCCACATTTGATATAGTATTCTTAAGAGGAACTTCGTAATGCGATAACTGTGCTTTTATCGAATTGTTCCAATAGATAATTGAAGGACATCATATTTTATCACGTTTTTTGGTAAAATACATAACGATAAATATTCAGGATTTAGGTTATATTCCGTTAATATTTTTCACACGAGTCTTAATAACTTTATTTCAATAATCAACGATGCTTTATAAGTATGATGCTTATGCAAGGATGCCAAGTCCCTCTTTCGATACAAAATTTCTCTAGGCACGACCATAACGTCGTCGTTGACAAACTTTTATTCACTACAAGGATTATTTTGTATCTCTAAAAAAAATATTGAATAATATTAGAAAAAACATTGATTTTACCGTTCAAAACTCCAGTAAAAATCCAACATAGACTTTAATTTCTCGCTCATTCCTAAATATCCTTTTATTTATACGTCCCTGAGATATTATATGAGAATAATCGCATTTTTGTTGTTTGCATTATATGATGGAACAAAGTTCTCATTGTTTAGTGATATATTATAATAACACGATTGATTGACCAAACTTACACAAGAGGGTCAGATGAAAGTGTGTGAAAAAGTTCCTTAATGACCAAATTTTTAATCTTTCATACACACATTCAGTATATAAAAATAATTTCCGACTACTACATAACGACGACAACGACACAATATATCATTGCGAATCGTTTTTTAGAATAGAAACATGTATAACGTCATTTTTTTGTCATACTTTTTTGTATAACGATAACATATTTAATATGATCCGAGAAAATATAAATGTAATTAATATCGATATTTCCAATTACTTTTTGTTGGTGGTCAACAGATTGATTTTGACTTAATCAAACTCTTCTCTTTCAATATATAAGAAATCGATAATTAGCACAATAAAAATCATAAGAAAATAACAAATGGCTACAATTCCACAAAAAATCGCGACAACCGCACTAAAATCGGTAATAAGTAAAACTATTAAAAGCCATCACCACAACAACAGTGACGTTTCCCAAACAGAACTCGCAAACTCACGACCAAATAACACAACATCAGTACCAAACGCCATCAACAAGGGACGAAAAAAGAATAAATATAATTTACCACCTGGTCTCACAAAACAAGAAGCAAAAATATTGAAATCAGTGCGAAGGCGAGCGAGATTTTATGATGAAAATTTTTGTTCTTGTGGTTGTTTCTCGATTGGTCTTGATCCGTTGTTGGGTATTTATTTATAATAGTGCATTTTTTTTCTTGAGGATGATTTTTTTGCTAATTATTTTTAATATATATATATATATATATAATTAATTAAGGGCTTCTGCCGGTGATTGGTGATTTCATGGGTACTTTTCTCTCGTTAATGTTAGTGAAAACTGCAAGACAAGCAGATTTACCCACCATCATAGTCTCCAAGATGATGGTAAATGTCTGTATTGATTTTATGGTAAATTTTCGATTCCTTATTTATAGATGCGATCTTTTTTCTAATTTTTAATAAATAGCTAAAAATCACTTGCCTTCTATATAATAGATGGGACTAATACCGCTACTAGGTGATTTAGCAGATTATGTATATAAATGTAATACGCGTAATGCGGACATATTGCACGAATACCTTGAAGATCGAGCGAAGAATAGATCATTAGTGTTGGAAGAAGGGTCGGTCGAGATACTCGAACGACTTCCTCAAATACCTGAAGAAGGTACTTCTAACAATGGGAAAATCGAAAGATGAAATTATATCATGATGATTAAATGTGATGATTCTTTTCGCGCATGGGGTTGAACTTTCATATCATTTTTATAAAACAATTGTATTTATAGTTCAAATAACACTTTGTATTACAAATAGCACTTCGCATCATTCAAAGAAAGCAAGTTATAAATCATAATACATACGTACATGTATATATTTTTTTTACAATTACTTGTATTTCTTGATGAATCCATTTATATTAACGCATAGTGTGGAGTCGAACAAACTCGGAATTTTTTAATATTTGTCGCACACAACTCTGCATAACCTTCAATAGACAATGAAAAACTAATAAAAGTCGGCGAATTATTTATTAAAGCCTTTACTGAATTACCTTCATTTCGCGTATACAATCAAAGAAACTAAAGAATTTAAATGTCGAGCGAAGACGACTATGATTCACCTGAAGGTTCGCCGTTGGTGACTTCTGAAGGGGAGGCTGGCGATAGAACTCCCGTTTCAGAAGGTATACATGAAATTGCATTACATACAGCTTCTATTTCAAATCATTTCTTTAAATATTTTATATTTGTTGTCTGTCTCAATAGATGCTTTAGAAACAGATGCTGCACCGACCACAATTCCGTCTACACCTTATTCTATGGTGCCCAATATTCTAAATGCCAAATCCTATAGAACCTACGATATTGTGCCTCTTGTGCGTTTTTATTTATTTTTCCACCATGCTAATAATAATAGCAATAATAAGGTTACTTGAAAATAAATTTTTCATTTCATATAGTGCGCGGCAATTCACGGTTGTCAAATATACGCGTTAGACGCAACCCGAAACATGCGTTGGGTTTTCACAGGTGGCGATGACGGATATGTTCGAAAATACGATTTTTTTGGATCGATGAGTGGAAAACAATTGCTGACGCAGAATCAGAAACACGCGCAAGTGGAGTCTGTCCAAAAGGTGCGCTAGGTAATATTCCTTGAAGAAGAAGGAATCGATTAATCATCATCATCAACGATATTATTTTTTATGTATGTTTTTTGTTGAAGAATTCTATAATATATAATGATTAAATAGGCGGGTGTGATTTTATCGTATTGGGAGAACGAAGAACCACCACCACCGGCTCCGGTGGTGGTGCCTCCTCCTGTACCTTCTACACCTATAGTGATTAAGCAAGGTTTGTTATTATTTGGTGACGATGAAGTTAATCAATGTAATGTGTCTAATTATGTTTATTTTAGAAAATACAAATGGGATGGCTAATGGGTTGATTACGGAACCATCTAATGCACCACAACCCGAACCCGTGCCAGAAGCTCCACTTCCCGAACCTAAATTATCAGCTGTTTTCAGTTTAGCTGTACAATCCGAAGCAATTTGGTTACTAAGCGGTTTAGAGGTAGGTAAATCCTTTCCCATAGAAAATTTTTTCCTTATTACTAAATCGAAATTTAAATATTTTGTTAGAGCGGTGGAATTAACTTGTTTACGGTTAGACATGAAGAAGGAAAATGTCATCATGTATTAAAAGAACATAATGGTCCTGTATCGGTATTAAAGATAACACAAGATGAAATTGGGTTTATTAGTGGCTCGTGGGATAAACAAGTATTGGTAATTGAGAGGTTGCATTACAGAGAAAATCATTTTTTTTCAAAAAATTTCTTCAACAATTTTGCTGTGCAATGTTTTTTTTTTGACAGTATTGGGATCTTAACAATGGTCAAGTAGTCCGACGATTTATAGGCCACAATTCACAAATAACCTCGATACAATTCCGTCCAGTACTACCAGCGAGTTCTCCCGAGTCATACGACGAACTTTTCAATGATGACGAAGATCTCGTAAACTCAAATGACGTTCTTCTAACTACGAGCATCGACGGCCATATCATGATCTGGGACAAACGAGCCGAAGAATCAATAATAAAAACACTTGCACCACCGGAACGGACTCCACCTTGGTCTTTATCTGTAAGTAATGAGAGTCGTTACATTTTACTGCAAAAATAAAAAAATAGATTTTTGCTCGAATATTGCTGGTTGTAACCTTTCACAAGTATGCGGGCTTTGTTTTCTGACATATCGGCGTTGACGCTTGCATCTCCTCCTGAAGGCTTGTTGGAGCGCAGATGGTACGAAAATTTATTGTGGGAGAAGAAATGGAACTGGTCAGTTTTGATGTTAGAAACATTTAATTTAACAAAGATTCAAGTTTAATCTTAAATCATTTCTATCAGTTGATGAATGGGATGTTCGCGCTGGATCTGCGATACGCGTTCTTCGAATGCCAAACGGTTCTGGGCCCGTTTCGTGTGTTGCTAGTATGCCTAATGGAAAACAACTAATATGGTTTTTGAAGCTTTAACTTTTATCAATTAAACACTATAAGATTGGTAGAATTCTAATATGTTTTGCTTAATTAAAGCGCGTCATTTGATAATATCCGATTATGGAACTTAGAAGAGAGCGAGAACAATAGATCGTCAGTCCCTTTTCTTATTGTGGCGGGACATCATGGCGGAACGATATCTCAAATATGTATTTGTCATTTGATTATGAAACTTTCAAGATTTGGCGTTGTATTTGATATTTATGTTTGGAATTATTTTTATATAGTGATCGACGAACAGTGTCGATATCTGATTACCACTTCTGGAAATCGAGGATGGGAGGGAAGCACTACTGAATCTGCGTTGTTTTATGAAATTGGACAGGGTTGAGTGTCTGATTATTTTCTTTTTATTTTATTATCAGTAATACAGAAGAGAAAAAGTAAAGTAGTTCGCGTTGTTAATTTGTGTATGATAGAAACCAAAATAGTATTATTTTAATTTTGGACAGATGTTAGGAATATAAATAATTTCAATGATATACTTGAATAAAAAGTTCATAAGTATATATTAACCTTTTCGAGCAAACAGGATACCAGCTAGTCACTCACTCCCGAACTACCAAACCGCTTTTTTAACACCTGGTAACTCGCCATTCAGCGCCTTCATGCGAAACTGAAATCGGCACAACCGATGCTCACGAAATACTCCTCTACTTCTACCAGCCTCGGTACACCTATTCGTAATACTAGCAGGTCTCGCGTGTCTCGGATACGCATTTAGCGCCAGTTGTGCTTGTTGTCGTGTACGCGTGGGGAGTGTCTCGTTCCGTGTGATGTAACGCAGTGCTTGCCTAGCTACTTCTTTTCGTAAGACTTGTTGTCGCACGAACAGGTCTCTTCGGCAACGTGAGAATCTGCGAATTACGTCTGTAGACATTTTTTATTCCTTTTTTTGATCCGCCAAGTCTTAATTATCTGATGTTCGAATTGCCGATCTTAATTATATTCGTCCTTTCAAGCATTTGACAAGTCCCGTGTAAGTCCAAGTACACAGTGTATATAGTCCCGCCATTCGATTTTTTACATTGTATTACTATCCTTGGAAGTATAAAATTTACTTTATTATGTAATTATATAGTAATATATATATATGTGTGTGTGTTGTTGGAAATATAAATTTTTTGTGTACATAGATACTGTATATAATGTGAATTCTATTCATAAAGACTAATAAGATTGAAAAAGATTAAATATAAATAATGTGTATACAAGAATCCATCTTCATCGCATCATATTTCTAGAATAAACTATTATTATTCGAATTATTATATCCTCCAAACCCACCGAGACCTTGCGGCTGCTGCTGTTGCTGCTGCTGCGTATATGGGTTAAAAGATTGCTGTTGCTGACCCAATTGTTCAAATTGTAATTCACCGAGTGATTTTGGCTTGAGATTTGTGGAGATTTGTGGCTGTTGTTGTATTTGAAATGGATTCTTACTGGCATTAGTGTTATTGGTGGCTGGGCTCAAGTCGATTAGCGTGTTAGTAGTTGCGAACGATGATGCTGTGGAGAAAGGTGAACTAGGCTATTATATTATATTATATTATATTGATCATGAATAAATTGATTTAATTAATGAATAAATGAATTTAATCCTCCCGTCCCCAAATTCAAAAAAAATAATAATTTACCTGGCTTAACGTAGAAAAGCTGTTACTACCACTGAATGTACTATACAAATCTGAATTATTGTTATTTTGATTACTTAGACTAAGATTCGGTTGAGAGTTACTAAATGTTCCAGATAAATATGGTGATGGGGCACTAAGATTGCCACCAACATTATTGCTGCTACCTTCGTTTTTGAAGAAAGGATTTGCTCCAGGAGTCCCAATACTACTGGCGGAATTTGATCGAGCTGGTTGTAGACTCGAAAATCCTGTACCACTAATTTTTTTTTAAATTTTAATAAATATATGAAGATGATATAAATATCGAGACATATAATATAAGTTGACTTACGCAGGTACACGCAGGTCACCCTGATTACCAAATGTATCTAGTCCATCTCTAAAATAATGTAAATGTTTATTAGGTTATTAATGAAACTTCAAAAAAGACAAGTGGTAGGTAGAGTTCTTACCCTCGCGCTGCGAGTAAATTATTCAACTTGGAATATTTGTTATCTTGCGTCGTCGCTTTCAAAGTCTATATTTTAGAGTAAAAAAGTTATTTATAACCAAATTTAAACCAAATGTCACGGTAAACTAAAAATAAAAATAAAAAAGTACCTGACTTCTTAGTAGTGAATTCGCTTGCTGTTGCTTTAATAATTGATCATTCTTTAATTGGTTTAGTCCATTATTCGACTAGTATAGCAAATTAATATATAATAAAATAAGAAAAAAAATCCGAAATAAGCTAATAAATGCGATCATAAGTAAATAAAAATACCTGTTGACCAATTCCAAAAGATGAGTCAAACGGTGTCAAAGTTGACGAATTTTGCGCGTTAAAAGATGGTGTACTATAACTGCTCTGTTGAAAATTTAGTCCCAAAGGATCATTACCAAATGTAGCTAAATTTGCATTTTGACTAAACGAGGACAACGAATTATTGTCCGTTATTTGGAATGGTTGTTGCTGTTGCTGCTGCTGCTGCTGCTGCTGTTGTGGTTGTTGTCCAGCGAATGGTCCAAATGGATTGTTCGATCCAATTGTACCAGCATTCGTAGGATTATTAGTGGTACTGTTTATAGCCTGTTGTGCCTGCTGCTGCAGTGATAATTGTTGCTGATATGAATTCTGTGGTTGTAACTGTAACTGTAGTAATTGTTGTTGATATGGATTAGTGGAGAATTGTGCTGAATTATTAAGGAGATTTAGATTCTGCTGCTGCTGTTGTTGTAGTTGTTGTTGTTGTAGTTGTTGTTGTTGTAGTTGTTGTTGTTGTTGTTGATTTGATAAATTGTAAATATCAAATTGTTGTGGATTCTGATTTGTATTTCCAAAAGAATATTGTTGACTCAATGGACTAAAAAAATCTTCAGGTGATTGCTGTAGTTGTTGTGATGTAACTGGTGTGAAACTACTCAAAAAATTAGTTAATTAATTTATATTTTAACCATAATAATTGTTCCGTAGAATTAAAATAAACATTTATCGTACCTTGTATCACCTTGTATTAAAGGCACTTCTTTTCGTGCAACCTCTTCCGCTTGTTTTCGTTTTTCTTCCTCCTCTTTACTTAGTTGAATTGCTTTTTCAAGGTCCGAATCTTCGTCATTAATACTAGTAAAAATCAGTTTTGTATTATTATTATCAAGTTTATATTTATTTTTCATCAAAACTAACAATAATCAACCATTGCAATTTTACCTCTCTTTTAATCTTCTTTCATTTTCCAATTTCTTACTCTCTTCAATCGCCCGCTGAAGTTCATCATCATCATTAAAATATCCAGGCTGTTGTTGTTGTTCATAACTCAGCGAAATATCCCTATTATACGAGCTTCCTGGTTCATCTCGTCCTGAAATACGATTGTGCATGGTTGAACGTGATCGCCGTTCGGCCTTGAGTCGCTCGTCATCTTGCAAAAGATTCGTAATGTCTTTGGCCTTTTGACGAACTAAATAATCATATGACATATAATAATAGTCTCGGTTAATATAATAATCGTCCTCATTATATCGGCGATAATGTTATTGCGAGTGGGAGATAATCATCGTGATCGAAATAATTTAATGATAGCCTAACACTCTACCATTTGACCCCTGGTCTTTTCCATCTTCGTCTATGAATTGAAATTCTCGAAGAGTTTTTACTATATAAAAATTATCTTTGGCGTATAGAACTACATTCTCTGCTCCTACGTGCAGGCAGTAATCCAATAATGTGAGGGCCTAAAAAAATTGTTAAATTGATTTTATTTATAAAAAAATCAATTTTAAATCAATTGCTTACCTTAAAGACATGTCGCCAATTTTTACCGTGGTCGTTTAGTCGTTTATCGATCATCTCCATAATCTCTATAAATTCATGGCTTTATATAAAAAACCAAAAATTGTTTGTTACTTCATCAATTAATTCCCTATTTCCAAAAACTTCGATTAAAAAAAAACTTTAGATTCATTATTTAATTAGAAAATCCAGCTTACTGGTTATAAGTCGCCTGAGCAATTTCATTCATTGCCGTCCCACTTGGTCCCCATGGCTCATTTGATGTCGCCGCCCTGACTTTAACCTGTATATCTGAGTAACCTTTTGAAAAATTCTTTCTATAAATATATAGAAAATATTATAGTCATTCAAGTAATGAAAAACAAAGCGTTGTCGCAATCATCGACCAAGGTAAAGGGAACTTACACTGAGCGCACGGCACTTTTTGCTATATGTTTCGACATTTTATTATAAAAAATTTGTTTCTATTATCACAAGAGTTCGAAATTTTTATTGTTTATTAAAGGTCAAACTATACAGTTGTTTTTTACTTTATGCAATATGATGCTACCTACTATGTACTATTTTCTTTTTAAAAAATATATTTTTTTAATGTTACTATTTAGAAATAAATAAGTAAATAAATAATAGTATTTATTTTTGGAAAGGTGGGTGGTAGTTGAGGCGCTCGCAAAGAGAACACAAGAAATAGAACAAATGAATGTATATAATAGAAGTTCTCGGCAGGAATATAAAAAGCTTTTTTTAGTAATAATAATTCAAAGTTAAAAAAAAAGTATAGAATTATTTATATGATGCCAATAAGAGTAACTATGTTTGCGTAAATATCTTGGCTGAAAATACTCTTGTGTGACCTGATTTTTCTCGATCGATTGTCCATTCTCAATCATTGCCGTTACGTGATGATGACTATTATTATTTTATTATGATATTGATAGAAATACAGTTATAGCATAATTCAAGTTGATCGCATCTAAAATTTGTCTTGTCATTCAGTAATTGGTGTTAGTTTCGAATTGTACCATTTCGTTCCCATTAGGATATTTCATAACACCGGAATTCACTAATGCTTGATACAAATCTTCAATCAGATCATTGACATCCTAAATTTATTGGGAAAAAAGAAGTCATGGAATAGTTAATCATTCTGTAGATAATTATACATCCGCTTAAAGGGAAAAGACATCATGTGTGTGGAAAATCATATCATTAAATTGAATAATCAAAAACTCACTTCGATTCCAACACAAAGACGTATCAAATCTTCTGGGATGCCTCTTTCCGCACGGACCGCTGCAGGAATGCTAGCATGAGACATTCTACATGGCATGCTATTTTTCCAAATATGTTAAGCATGGCATACATAAAAAATGAAAAAAAAATGAAATTCAGATTTCTTGAGTGAGAAGATCTCGCGCGTTTTATTCTTAGACAATAAATAATCTAATTAAAAAAAAAAGGCAATGTGTGTGTCAATGTTGCTTTTATCACTATTTCTGAACCTGAACGACTAACCTTATTAGAGAATTTACACATCCAAAACTAACACTAATAGCCCATAACTTTGTTGACTCCACTATACGTTCACTGAGTTCCGTGTCGCCAGTTAAGAAACTCAGAACAGCACCAGGACCTCGAGACATTTTGAAGTGTAGATCGTATTGTGGATGGGATTTTAGACCGGGGAAATTGACCTTGAACCCGTGATATTCGAGAAACTCGGCAATTTGTTGTGCGTTTGCTTGTTGTTTATCCATGCGAATAGCTAAAGTCTTTATTCCCCGTAAAAGTAGCCACGAATCAAACGGTGATAATCCACATCCGGTAGCATTAATGGTAGAATATATTTTCTAATTATATATACAAATATTAAAAAAAAGAAATTTTTAAAAATCTTCATATTTTGAAATTAGTACTGAATAGAAATTTCACTGAATATTTTTCCGAGTGATTTTAAAAACACACCTCGGCAACCATTTCATCTTTCACCCCTATTACACCGGCCATTAAATCGTGATGCCCGCTAAGATACTTTGTTCCAGAGTGATATGTAATGTCAGCGCCTAACCTTAACGGTTTCTGTAAATAAGGGGACATCATTGTATTGTCTACTACTATTAAAGCATTTGGGCAGCGTTCGTGTACAATTGATGTAATTGTGGGAATGTCACATATTTTAATTAGGGGATTTGTGGGTGTTTCCAATAATACAAGACGAGTTCGTGTCGGGTGAAGATACGAATAAAGAATCGCTGGATTTGTCAGGTCAAGGTGATGTGTCTTTATGTCATAATTTTTATTAAGGTAAGATAATAATCGATTGGTGCCTGTTTTTTTTTTAAGAAATAATCGAAACCTTTGTAAATAAAATTCAGAAATATGTATAGAATAATAAAAGATGAAATACAATAAACAAATTAAATAATACCTCCATACAGATCATCTCCAGCAATAATCTCCTCGCCGGATCTTACTAATCGAGCAATCACATCAAATGCACTCATACCACTACTGACGGCAAATGCACGCTTAGCTGACATAATTTTGGCAAGGTGACTTTCTATAAAAAAAAATCACATCATACTAATAGATTAACAAAAAATCCATATCTTTATTACCATGTTGGATTAAAAGATCGATCATAAATTCACCTAAAACCGAACGAGTAGGATTCCCACTTCTCGTATAATCAAAATCTCCTACTTCAGTAGCAGAATTTTGCTTAAATGTCGCAGTTTGATAGATTGGTGTCGAGGATGAATTATAGTTATCTCTGACGCCGCTTTCTCCATTATCTAAATGTACAAGTTCAGTAGCAGTTCTATATCTAGAAATGTCACAATCATTTACTCGTGATGAGGTAGAGACTGTGGATGGTGTGGATGGTTCCGAGTCCATTTTTTATTTATCAATATTTTTTCTATAATGTTTATATATATATACGGAATATACAGTATCTTTTCCCTATATAAAAATGCGAATATGCAAAATACACGAATAAACGTCAACGAAAACCAAAATGTCCAAGTTATGGGTATTATTAGTGAAAGAATGAGAAAAAAATAAAAAAGAGGCTTCTCGCTCAAGGTCAACTTGGAAAGTGAAAAATACTTTTCTACATTTTTACAAGCTTTATGTAGGATACATTTTTTGGTAGATTTACGTAGTCCAATCAAATTCCAACAAGATGGTGTAATACTTAATCTTCGCGTGCTATTATATAATCAGATGTAAATTGAGTCACAATAAATCAGTTTTGACTTGGTAACGTAAGAAACCAATGAAATGATGCATATTACTAACTAGATTGCTCTTCGTTTTGGTATACCGATATGTATTTACAAAACAATTCTTTATTTATACAAAAGCCATATATCAAAAATCGGTAACTCTAGCGCCATAACTCCAATCACCATGCTTTAACGGATCATGTTTAGGTCCGTTAATTTCACCAGTCACTGGATTTTTATCACCCTCGAATTCTGCCGGCGGCTTTCGCCTTACATCTGGATGTGTGGTTTCTTCATCGGCGACTGTTTCATCGTAATTTGTCCACATTGAACCGAGATTCTTGCGTACAAGTTCTTCAAACTCTCTTTGATCTTCTTTGTTTTCTAGTGGAGGAGGTGATGGTTTATTAAGCGATGAATATGTGGATTTATGGCGCATGAATAAGGTCGTTAAAGAAAACGTAGGTAGCCGGCGAAAACGAGCGAATTTTGATTTAAGCGTCAAGGACATTTTTATGTAGTTTGTAGGTGTATAATTCAAGATGCGCTTGGAATTTTACTACTCTTTACAGTTGTAATAAAAGTTCGGACTAATTATAATAAAATCCTTAATAAAATTTACTAATAAACTTGATATAGTAAATTTTTCTCACTTTACTGTAAAAGAAAGTCAACTTGTAGCATGGTAATATAGTCATGTGAGAAAATGCGCCATCGTACGATAAAATAGGAACAGAATTTGTGTTCGTCACTCCAAAAGAAAAAAATTTTCCTGTTCTGCCACACTAAATCTTTTTCTAAAAAGCAAGTATCGATTTTTCTTTACAGACAATAAGGAAAAAATGGATTTAAAGTGCGTCAAAGTTTGTTTGGATGGATAACTTTAATGATTTCGATATTCAAATAGGCACAATTAATAAGAATTTTGGAAAATAAATCATTACATATAAAAGCTACTAGAAAGGAAAATATTTGATGAAATACAAAATTTAATTGATAGCGATAGAATTCTCTAGAGTTGATCATTGAAATTTCTAGTAGCACAAAGGTAGAGTTCATTTCGTCATCAAAATTGACATTTTACTTTAAAATACGGTTTCTGAAAAAGTATGTATTCTTATGGAATCAATGATAAGATGCGCATAAGTCAAGGGAGGAAAGTAATTTATAGTACGATATATTGATATAGGAAATCTCAAAACTTGTAGCTCAATATTTAATATCGCAATAAGATTAAGCAAAAATGCTATTATCTAAATTTTTCTATTTCTATTTCGAATAAAATAAATATATTCTTCTGTATCGAAATATTAAAAGTTCTTTAATTCCAATTCATAATGCAAAAAATGCAAGCTCATTCTAGTTTATGCAAATAAGAATATCCAAAATTTTAATGAATTTACAATACGTTTATCGCTTTATTTCGATATTATTGTTATGGTTACTTTAAATGAAGGGTTTCTTCACTATTAGTAAAAGAGTCATATGAGTTGGGAGAGAGGAATAGACTAATAAA